ACGGACACAGAGAGAGAGAGAGAGGGGGAGAGAGAGAGGGGCGGGGACACGGAGAGAGAGAGAGAGAGAGAGAGAGAGAGAGAGAGTTCAGCTTACCTTGAAATAGTATGCTGGTTGGATTTCTCTGTCCGTCGGATTGACAGCGAATCCAGGTTGCAAAGCCTGTGAAAATCTTTGCTGGAGGATTTCACCAAACAGTCGGAACTGCCGTGCTACCCATGCCCAGTGAAGGAACTCCCCCCCTTCGCCTATGAGGTGTTGGAAAGCGACAATGTGCCTACGAAACTGCTTCAGGGCTTCCTCTGAATTTCCCAAATGCAGCAGCAGAGTGCACGCCTTCATGTTCAGCAACTCTGCAACCATCTTCAACTCCATCATTCTCTGCACAGGTTGCAGGTCCAAAGGTGCCCCCATCACCTGCGATATGTTGCCACATCATTCCTGTGGGTCAGAAATGCACAGTCACAACCAACAGCAAAACTTCAAAACCATTTTCCAGGCTACTATCCTCAATCATACGCGGGGAATTCCAACAAAAAAATGGAAAAAAAGACCAGCTTTTCCCTCCCTTCCTCTTCTGATCTCTCTCCTTCCCTACATGCCAAAAGTACGATTGCGTGCAATTGTACACACATACCACTTCCTGTTTTTCTTTCCCCTCCTCTCCCCTGCAGTTCACCACTCGTACTGCACTGTTCAGTACATAAAACTCTGTGAAGTGGTCATTTTGGTCCTTTTGCCCGCCCCTAAACAGCTACCGTAAGAAGTTCTGCAGCTACACTGTTAGAGGTTTTACGACCACAGACCCACCTGAAACCCCCCATTTTGGTCATTTTGCCCGCCCCTCAACAGCTACGGAAAAAGTTTGAAAACCCAGACCAATCATGAGCAGCATTACCTCTGCCAACTTCCTCAGATCAATAGTTCTCAGCTCAGACACAGATCTTTGGTCAATGCTTAAGCACGCACGCACACACACACAAGCACACCCACACCCACACGCACACGCACACACGCACAAACAAAGTCTGGGCAACGTGGTGGTCTTTTTATTCCAATATTTTGTAACCTTGCCTAATTGTTTTTTTCAATCCTTCCTGATCATTCCTAGATATTTTTCTTGTTTTTTCCCCTTCTACATTCTTAACATCTTGTCTTCCTTTCCATGTGGTTGGATCCCTAGGTTACCACCATCTTCACCCGAATAGAACACGGTCAATATCGCTGTATCTAGACTTACGTGGCTCCAAATACAGCTATAATGACTGGGCATTCTATCCAGGTGAAGACGATAGGTTTGTCCGCCCCAGATCACCTGAACAACAAGATGTCCGCTTACAACAAACCCTACCCCACCGGTCCTGGAAATCTGTACAGCGATACAAATCAGGTACACAAAAAGGCCTTGCCAGATGTTCCATCTATCTGCTCTTAACCCAACTTTCCCCTAATCTGTTTATTTTTTTCCCATCTCCACCCACCTTTCTCTCATCTTGCGTATTTGTGTGTGTTGGACAACCTTAATGTCCCTGCTACAGGCGTGGTCGGCGGCCTCACCACACGGAGCCTACAGTGCATATTTCATATCCAAGTTTCCTTTCCATTCACTTTCTTGCTTCATTTATTAGCTGAAAACAATGACAAATGAGTTCACTCTAAATAGTACCCTGGACATGACAGATGTAACATCGACCGTAAGCATCAGGGGCTCTCTTTGGGGCCTGTTTTCACATTTTCTACTGGACCCAAACTCTCTTTCGGCTATTTTTGTTTTTCTACTAGACCATAAACTTCGGGGACTCTCTTTGGCCTATTTTTTTTTTCTAGTGGACCCTAGACTCCTGGAACTCTCTTTTGCCTTTTTTTTTTCCCCTATTGGACCTGGGTTCCATCCCTGCCAACCGCCCACCCCGACCGCCAACCGTTTTGCAGCCTACCGATAGGCCGACCAGTCAACAGAGAGCCATCCGCTGATTTTTTTTTTTTTTATCTGACTTTGGGGCTGTACTGCATTTGAGAGGGGGAGGGGGAAGGGGAGGTGTTGCATACTGTAACGTGCAGACCAGAACAAGAACCGACCTCTCAATACAAAGTACAAGATAACACAGCGGAAGACTTAGATACGAATGATCCGAACAATCAATATTGCAATGCAGCTCTGAACACACATCATCATCATCGTTATCTGGTGTGAAGGGGTCTGGCGCTTCACACAAGAAGACTGC